TCATTGCATCTTCAACTGATTTCCATGAGTTTAATATAGATTTTTTTTTAATTGCTACTTTCTCAAGGCAATTCTGGCTTTTAGTACAAGGCATTACAGTGAAATCAATCATTTATTTAGTTCTACCAATCTATTACTCCTTTTCCTAAGAGCCTGCAAATCAAAGGATAGAGTGTTTTATAAAGAAATATTGTAGCAATAAAGAGCAACTTCATGCATTTTTCTGGCTGAAAGTAATTTGGACTTTTAAAAATGATACACTGATACCACAACCAGGCCATGTGCTTGCAGTATTTCATTTGAGAGACAACTTACAGGAACTCCGCTGCTGGAACAAAGTGTTCATTGCAAAAAAACTGAGATAATTTCTTCTCAGCTACAGAGATACCTATGTGGAAGATACAGTGTTTTTAAAAAAAAAAAAAAAATCTTTGCATTGCATTTTACTAATGAATGTTGAACTGTAGTTAGCAGTCAAAATGTCTAGTCTGATTCTTCAACTAGTTAGCAACTTAAAGATAGATACATGTTATAATCTTTACTGATATGTGTGATGATTTGATCCATTGCATACCTTTTCAGAGCTGTTTAAGATCACTCCTATGAAAAATTCATGTTGAAATTATAGTAATTTACCAGACATTTCTAGAACAGTGATCGGATTTTTCTGAGCAGCCTAGCTAGAAGTTGAGCAAGGATATGGTATCATATGAAAATTTTTATACCCAACTAGAAAAAGATTATGTGGGAGAAATATGACATGTGTGTAAGTTTTTGGGTTTTTTCTGCAGGTAAATACTGCAGTTTTCTGTTAAATTTGAGAACTGCCCTTTCTATTTAGCAGAACAAGATGTTATATATATGGCAGAATTTAAAAGATCTTAAAAAATTACAGGAGTACAGTCACTTCAGGTCCCTTTTCCCATACAGGACTGAAATATGGGTAAATCTAATGTCAAACCCAGGCCAGTGGTGCATCTCCAAGAGAGAATCAGCTGAACTGCAGCTCCATCAGGTGGTTGTAGGCAACTGGCATGGATTTGAGAACTGGGCCAAACAGTTCTATGAACAGATGCCAAAACAGGAGGCTGACAAAGGGCAGTCAGAAATAGTCATTACATGGAGGAGGTGATACTAGTGTAAATCATAGATTGCAAGTTAGAAATAGATTTTCTTGTTTTCCATGGGGTTTTTTTCCTTCCTTCCTTCCTTCCTTCCTTCCTTCCTTCCTTCCTTCCTTCCTTCCTTCCTTCCTTCCTTCCTTCCTTCCTTCCTCCACTTCCTTCCTTCCGCCACTTCCTTCCTTCCTTCCGCCACT